TTTTAATATTGTTTAATAAAAAAATGTTTATTGGTTTATACTAATATTGGTAAAATTACCAATAAATTTTTTAAAAAAAAATGTTTTAGTGAGGCATGACGTTTCTAATTGTCTAAAAAGGGGGGCGTAGCCCTCCTTTAAAAAAAAAAGAAAGAAGAAAGAGTATATAGAGGATTTATTAATATATATAGTAGTATACATATATAGACTTCTTATGTATATAGTATATATATATAATACATATATATATCTATATAGCTTATATATTATATATATATATATATATATATATAAATCCTTATATGATATTACTTATCTATACATCTAATATATATATATATATTTATATATAAATCCTTATATGAATATATACATATATTAATTGTATATATATATATAAGGGATGAGATAATTTGGGATAATTTTGCTATTTTTACTTAATTTAAGTTTTTTATTTAAATTAAATTATAAAAATAAGTATTAATATTTATTAAAATTATTTAAAAATAAATAATTAAATTTTAGTTAAGATTATTAAATTTTGTATTAATTAATATTTAATTTTATTAAAATTATTGGATTTTTTTACTTTATTAATAAAATTAATAATTTTAAAAATAATATTAATTATTTTAAAAATATAAAACCGTATAATTATTATTTTATATATAAATATAATTTATTTTATTATAAAATTTTATTTAATTAAAAAAATACATGAAATTTTTTTATTGTTAATAAATTCTTAAAGAATATTAATAATTCTCAGTATTAAATATTAAATATTAAAGAAATTTAGATTTAATTATTAATTTTAGTATAAACTAAATATGTGCCAGCAGTTGCGGTTAAACATAATATACAAATAAAATAGTTTGGTTATTAGTATTTAAATATTATTTATAATTTAATTTTTTTTAATAAAGTAAAATTTAATTAAGATTTATGATTATAATTATTTTATTCTATTAAATTTTATTTAAAACTAGGATTAGATACCCTATTATAAAAATTTAAATTAATTTACTAAAAAATTAATAGTTATGTTCTTTAAATTTAAAAAATTTGGCGGTATTTTAGTCTTATTAGAGGAACCTGTTTTTTAATTGATAATCCACGATTAATTTTACTTATTTTAATTAATTCATATATCGCTGTCATGAATATATTAAAAAATTTATTTTCTTTATTTATTATTATAGTTTATGTTAAGTCAAGATGTGGTTTATAAATAAGTTAATAATGGGTTACATTAAATTTTATTTTTGGATTTAAAATGAAAATTATAATGAAATTGGATTTAATAGTAAATTTATTTATTTAATTAATATGAATATAGATCTAAAATATGTACATATTGCCCGTCATTCTTATTAAAAATAAGACAAGTCGTAACAAAGTAAATGTACTGGAAAGTGTATTTAGAAAGATAATTTATTAAAAATAAATATCTAAATTTAAGTATATCATTTACAATGATAAGATGTTTTAAAAACTTTATTTAAATTAAAAATATTAATATTTTTATTTATTTTTAATTTTTTATAAAAGTAATTTATTAATTTATAGTTTTAGTATTTATTAAAAATTAATTTTTAGATTTATAGTTTAATAGTATTGTGAAAGAATTATTTAAATTTTAAAAAGAATAATAATAGTACCTTTTGTATCAGGGTTAATTAAAATTTTTAATTTTTTTTTAATTTCTCAAAATTTACAGAGTTAATTTTATTATTAATTTATTGTATTATAAATATTTATAAAATAATATTAGTTTTGAAATTTAATTCGTTGTATTATATTTAGTTATTTAAGATTTAAATTTAATTTAAAATTCTAAAAGTTATAGTTATTTTTTTTATTAGTATTTTAGATTTAAATTATTTTAGGGATAAGCTTAAAATTTTTATATAATGATTTATTTATTTTAATAATTTATAGGAATAGAAATTTTTATTTAAAGTTTGTAAAAATTTATTATTTATTTAATTTTAATTTATTATAAATTTATTTATTTTTTTTATTAAATTTTATTAATTAATATTTAATTTTTAGTAATAATGATTAAATTAGTATAATTTAAATTTATAAATTATGAATTCGGCAAAAATTATTTTCATCTGTTTAACAAAAACATTGTATTAAGTTTAATTTAATATAGGATCTGCTCAATGATTTATTAAATAGCTGCAGTATTTTGACTGTGCAAAGGTAGCATAATAATTAGTCTTTTAATTGAGGACTTGTATGAAAGATTTGATGAGAAATAAACTTTATTATTTATATAATTAAAATTTTATTTTTAAGTAAAAAAGCTTAAATTATTTAAAGGGACGATAAGACCCTATAAAACTTTATAAATATTATTTTTAATTTTTTTGGATTATAAATGTTTTAATTTTAATATTTATTTTATTGGGGTGATAAAAAAATTTAATTAACTTTTTTTAAAATTTTACATTATTTAATGGATATTTGAATTAAAATTTTTAATTAAAGGAAAAAGTTACTTTAGGGATAACAGCGTAATTAATTTTTTAAGTTCAAATTTAAAAATTAGTTTGCGACCTCGATGTTGAATTAAGATTAATCTTAGGTGCAAAATTTTAAGTATTAGGTCTGTTCGACCTTTAAATTCTTACATGATTTGAGTTCAAACCGGTGTAAGCCAGGTTGGTTTCTATCTTTTAAAATTTAAATTGTTTTAGTACGAAAGGATTAAATAATTAAATTAAATTTTATTAAATGAATTAAATTAATTTAACTATTTTGGCAGATAATTGTGTTAAATTTAGAATTTAATTATATAATTTTAATTATAAATAGTAATTTTTTTATTTGTTATAGTTATTAATTTTTTATTTTTATTTTTGATAGTTTTTATAAGAGTGGCTTTTTTTACTTTATTAGAACGAAAGGTTTTAGGTTATATTCAATTACGTAAAGGTCCTAATAAATTTTTTTTAAAAGGTGTTTTACAACCAATGGGTGATGGTTTAAAATTATTTTTTAAAGAAGTTAATTATCCTAGAAATATAAATTTTTTTATTTTTATAATTTCTCCTATATTAGGTTTATTAATTTCTATTTTTTTTTGATTTATTTATCCTTATATTGGTATAAATTATATTATAGGTTTTGGTTTAATTTATATATTTTGTTGTTCAAGTTTAATAGTTTATATCTTTTTAATAGTAAGATGATCTTCTAATTCAAATTATTCAGTTTTAGGAATAATTCGTTTTATTTCTCAAATAATTTCTTATGAAGTTAGAATAATAATTATTATTATAAATTTAATATTTTTAATTAATAGTTTTAATTTAAATGATTTTTATATTTATCAAATAAATTCTAAATTTTTTTTTTTTCTTTTTTTAATTTTTATTTTATTGTTGATTAGATTTATAGCTGAAATAAATCGTTCTCCTTTTGATTTTTCTGAGGGAGAATCTGAATTAGTTTCTGGTTTTAATATTGAATTTAGAAGTATATCCTTTATTTTTATTTTTATATCTGAATATATAAGTATTATATTTATAGGAATATTATTATGTGAAATATTTTTTGGATTAATAATAAATAAGTTTTATTTAAATATTTTTATTTTAATTTTTATATTTATAGTTATTTGATTACGTGGATTTTTACCACGTTTTCGTTATGATAAATTAATATATTTAATTTGAAAGTTAATTTTACCTTTATCTTTATTTTTATTTATATTTAATTTTAGTATGAAATTATTTAACTTATATCATTAATTTTAGTATAAGTTAATAGAATTAAATTCTTTTTTTTATTTTCAAAATAAATATTTTAACTAAATTAATTAACTAAATTTATTGATTTAGTAATTTATCTCATATTTTTATAATATAAAAATTAATAAAAAAATATAAAAAGTAAATTCTTGTAAAAATTTGACCTATTAAAATAAAAGGATATTCTACTGGTTGTATACCAATTCATGTTAATATAAAAAATGTTATAATAAAAATTCAGAATAAAAATTTATTTAAAGGGTAAAATTTATTTCTTAAAAAATTTTTATTATTTAATATAGGTATAATTAATAAAATTAAAATTGATAGTATTAAAGCAATAACTCCACCTAATTTATTAGGAATAGCTCGTAAAATTGAATATGAAAATAAAAAATACCATTCTGGTTGAATATGATTTGGAGTAATCATTGAATTTGCTATAATAAAATTATTATGGTCATTTAATAAATAAGGAAAAATTAAAGTTAAAATAAAAAATATTCATATGAATATAATTAATCCAATTAAATCTTTAATTAAAAAGTATGGTGAAAAAGTAATTTTATCAAAATTTCTATTAATTCCTAATGGATTATTTGATCCTGTTATATGTAAAAAAAATAAATGAATAAAAGTAAATAAAATAATAATAAATGGAAGAATAAAATGAATTGAAAAAAAGCGTGTTAATGTTGCATTATTAATTGAGAACCCTCCTCAAATTCAAATTACAATTGAATTTCCTAAATAAGGAATTGCTGAAAGAAGATTTGTAATTACTGTGGCTCCTCAGAATGATATTTGTCCTCATGGTAATACATAACCTACAAAAGCTGTTATTATAGTTAATAAAAGTAATAAAACTCCAATAATTCATGTTATTTTAAAATTAAATGAGTTTATATAAATTCCTCGTCTAATGTGAATATAAATTATAATAAAAAATATAGATGCTCCATTAGCATGGAATGAACGAATTAATCATCCAAAATTAATATTTCGATTTATATTAATAATTCTTTGAAAAGCTAAATTAATATCTGTTTTATAATGAAATGCTAAAAATAATCCTGTTAAAATTTGATTAATTAAACAAATTATTAATAAAGATCCAAAATTTCATATAAAACTAATTCTGGCAGGTGTAGGTAAATTTAATATTGGTGATAAAATTTTAATTATATTTTTTTTCATTAATTATTTTTTTTGTCGAATAGGCCCCTTATTAATTTTTAATATTCAAATAATTAAAATTAATATAAAAAATAAAATAAATATAATTATATATATTATTAAGTTATTTGGTAAAATAAATATATTTAATATATAAAAATTATCTTCAAATATAAATTTATTTTCATAATTTATATTATTTAAATTTAATGATATTTTAAAATATATTAATACTAAAATAATAAAAATTAATTTATAGATTAAATTTTTAAAATTTTTATTAATATTTAATTCATTAAAAGCAATTCTTGAAATATAAAGAAAAATAATTATTAATCCTCCAATATATAAAATAAAAATTATAAATGAAATTCATGATGTTTTATTAATTAAATTGATTATTAAAGTTAAAGATAAAGTTTGAATTAAAATGATTAGATTTGATCTAAGAGGTGATTTTATTATTGTTAATGTAATTGCTATAATTAAATTAGTTAATATAATAAATTTTAAAATTCAGTATATATTTTAATTAAAATGTTAATTTTGGAGATTAATGATAATATTATATATATTTATACTGATTATTTTAAATAATTTTATAATTTTGATTTACAATATCAATGTTTTTTTTAAACTATTAAAATGATAAATTTATTTATTTTAGTTTTATTTTTTATATTATTTTCTGGAATTTTATTTTATATTTTTAATTTTAATCATTTATTGATAATATTATTGGGTTTAGAATATTTATTATTAATTTTATCTTTATTATTTTTATTAAATTTAATAATATTTATTAAACAATATTTATTATTATTAATTTTTTTTATTTTTTGTATTAGAGAAAGAGTTTTAGGTTTAACAATTTTGATTTTAATAGTTCGTATATATGGTAATGATTATTTAAAATCATTAATGATTTTACAATGTTAATAATTTTAATATTTATTATTAGTAGAATGATTTTTTTTAGCTTAAAAGTTAAAAGATGATGATTAGCCCAGAATTTTTTTTTTTTTTTTTTTTTTTTTATATATTTTAAGATTCCAATATTCAATTATTTTTTAAATGTTAGATATTTATTTGGTATAGATATATTTTCTTATTTGATATTTATATTAGGTTTATGAATTATTAGATTGGTTTATATTTCTAGTTTTAATTTAAAAAGTAATTATTTAAATTATTTTAATATGATTATATTTATTTTTATTATTATTTTTTATTTTTGTTTTTTTAGTAATAGATTTATTTTATTTTATATTTTTTATGAAATTAATTTAATTCCTGTAATTATTTTAATTTATGGTTGAGGTTATCAATATGAACGTTTTAAAGCTGGATTTTATTTATTTATTTATATAATTTTTTTTTCTTTACCTTTTTTCTTTTGTTTATTAAGTTTAAATAATTTTAATTTTATATTTATATATTATTTTGATTATTTAAATAATTTAAATTTTTATTATTATTTATTTTTAATAATAATTTTTTTAGTAAAAATACCTTTATTTATATTTCATATTTGATTACCTAAAGCTCATGTTGAAGCTCCTATTAGTGGTTCAATAATTTTAGCTGGAATTATATTAAAATTAGGTGGTTTTGGTATATATCATTTTTTGATATTAGTTTTTAAGATTAATATTAAAATTAATTATTTTTTTATTTCTTTATGTTTATTAGGTATATTTATATTAAGATTAGTTTGTTTTTTTCAAAGAGATTTAAAAATTTTAATTGCTTATTCTTCTGTTGTTCATATAGGGTTAGTTATTATTGGTTTTTTAACTTTAAATAATTGAGGTTATTTTGGTTCATTAATTTTAATGTTTGGTCATGGTTTATGTTCTTCTGGTTTATTTTGTTTAAGAAATATTTGTTATTTACGTTTTAAAAGTCGAAGAATGTTTTTAAATAAGGGTTTAATTAATATTTATTCTTTTTTATCATTTTGATGATTTTTATTATGTTCTTCTAATATATCTTTTCCTCCTTCTTTAAATTTATTTGGTGAATTATTTTTATTAATTAGTTTAATAATTTGACTTGATTATTTGTATTTATTTTATTTATTAATTATGATTTTAATATTTTTATATAGTCTTTATTTATATTTATATACTCAATATGGTAAATTATTTTTTAATATAAATTATTTAGTTTATATTAATTTAAGAGAATATTTATTATTATTTTTACATTGATTACCTTTAAATATAATTTTTATAATTATAGAATTGTTTTGTTATTTAAATAGTTTAATTAAAATATTAATTTGTGGAATTAAAGATTATGTGATTATATTTAAATAATTAAATTTAATTTTTTTTTTTTTTTTTTTTTTTTTTTTTTATATTATTTATTATTTTTTTTATTTTAGGCTTATGTTTAATTTATTTTAAAAAATTTTATTTTATTGAATATAAATTTTTTTTTTTTAATTCTTGTATAATTGTATATGTTATTTTATTAGATTGAATATCTTTAATATTTATTTCTTTTGTATTTTTAATTTCTTCAATAATTTTATTATATAGAATGGAGTATATAAATTATGATTTTAATAAAAATCGATTTTTAATGTTAATAAATTTTTTTATTATATTTATATTTTTTTTAATTATTAGACCTAATTTAATTAGAATTTTATTGGGTTGAGATGGTTTAGGAATAGTATCTTTTTGTTTAGTAATTTTTTATCAGAATAAAAAATCTTATAGTTCAGGTATAGTTACTGTTATTTTAAATCGTTTAGGTGATTTATTTATTATTATATCAATAATTTGAATATTAAATTTTGGTTCTTGAAATTTTATTTTAATTAATTATTATAGAAATTTAAATTATTTATTTTTTATTAGTTTAATAATTATATTTGCTTCTTTAACTAAAAGAGCTCAAATTCCTTTTTCTTCTTGATTACCTTTAGCTATAGCAGCTCCTACTCCTGTTTCTTCTTTAGTTCATTCTTCTACTTTAGTAACTGCTGGAATTTATTTAATAATTCGTTTTAATGAAATTTTTTTAAAATTTTCTTTTTTGAATTATTTAATAGTTATTTCTTGTTTAACAATATTTATATCTGGGTTAAATGCTATTTTTGAATTTGATTTAAAAAAAATTATTGCTTTTTCAACTTTAAGTCAAATGAGATTTATATTTATAATTTTATGTTTAGGTAAAATTGATATATGTTTTTTTTATTTATTAATACATGCTTTATTTAAATCTATAATATTTTTAAGAGCTGGAATTTTAATTTTAAATATAAATAATAATCAAGATATTCGTAAAATGGGTGGATTAATTGATTATTTACCTTTTTGTGGTTTAATTTTTATATTTACTTTAATATCATTGTGTGGTTTTCCTTTTTTCTGTAGTTTTTATTCAAAAGATTTAATTTTTGAATATTTTTTAATAATAAATTTGAATTTTTTTTTTTTTTTTTTTTTTTTATTATCTTTTTTTTTAACTTTTTTTTATTCTATTCGTGTTATCTATTATTTAATAATAATAAATTTTTCTATATTTAATTATTTAATAATTATTAAATTTGAGAGAAATATTTTAATTTTTAGTATATTATTAATTAGTTTTATTATATTATTTTTTGGTTCTTTTTTCATATGATTAATATTTTATAAATTTGATTTAATTTTATTAGAATTTAAATTTAAAATTTTAAGTATAATTATTTTATTTTTTAGAATTTGATTTTTTTTTGAGCTTAATAATTTTTTATTTTCTATAAATTATTTAATTTCTTTATTTAAAATTTTTTTTTTTAGAATAATATGAAATTTATTATTTTTTAAAGTGAATTTTTTTTTAAATAATTTTCTTTGATTTGGTTTTTTTACTTTAAAGTTAATTGAGGTTGGTTGAGTTGAATATAATTTAAATACTGGTTTAATTATATTTTTTAAAAATATAATTAATTTTAGTCAAAATATTTTTTTAAATAGTTATAAGGTTTTTATTTTATTATTTTTTTTATGATTTTTTATCATTTTATTTTTTAATTATTAAATTTAAATAGCTTAATTATTAGAGCATTATATTGAAGATATAAGGGTAAATTTTATTTTTTAAATAGTTTTTTTATGAATTTTTTTTAAAAAAGTAAAAATTTTAGTTATAAAAATTTTATAGTTTTTTAATAAAGATTAAATTTTGAGTTTTTTTTTTTAAAAATTTTGTTAAAGGTAGTTACCTTTGCATGTTTTTTTATATATAAATTTATGTATATTTATAGTTATTTTTTTTTTATAATTTTAATTTTTAGAAAATAATTTTTTTATAATTTTTTTTAAAAAAGTAAAAATTTTAGTTATAAAAATTTTATAGTTTTTTAATAAAGATTAAATTTTGAGTTTTTTTTTTTAAAAATTTTGTTAAAGGTAGTTACCTTTGCATGCTTTTTTATATATAAATTTATGTATATTTATAGTTATTTTTTTTTTATAATTTTAATTTTTAGAAAATAATTTTTTTATAATTTTTTTTAAAAAGTAAAAATTTTAGTTATAAAAATTTTATAGTTTTTTAATAAAGATTAAATTTTGAGTTTTTTTTTTAAAAATTTTGTTAAAGGTAGTTACCTTTGCATGTTTTTTTATATATAAATTTATGTATATTTATAGTTATTTTTTTTTTATAATTTTAATTTTTAGAAAATAATTTTTTTATAATTTTTTTTTGAAAAAGTAAAAATTTTAGTTATAAAAATTTTATTTTATTTATAATATAAAAATTATTTTTATATTGAAAATATAATGTTTTTTTTTTAAACTAATAAATAATTAAAGATTAAACATTTAAAATGCTTTAAAAGATAGTTAGCAGCTTCTTTTTTTTAAAATCTTTTTAATTGGAATTTTTATTTCAATATTATTATTAACAGTAATAAACCTCTTTTTGGTTTCAATTAATAAATAAGGATTTTTAAATCTATTATTAAGTCGAAATTAATATGTAAAATATTACTTCTTATTTAAGATAAATTAATTTAATAATTTTTAATAGCAAATTAAATGTTATAATTTTAACTATTATCCTTTAAATTTTTCAATTTAAAGATCCAAATTTTCATTCATAAAAAATAGTAATAATTATAAATATAAAGAATGTTGTAAATAAAAAATTAAAATAAATTATATTAGAAATTTTAAAGTTTATAATTATTGGTAGAATAATTGAAATTTCAATATCAAAAATTAAAAAAATAATTGCAATTAAGTAAAAATTTAAAGAAAATGGAATTCGTGATTTATTAAATGGATCAAATCCACATTCGAATGGTGCTGATTTATTATGATTAAATTTTATTTTTATGTTAATTAAAATTATAATTATAAATAAAATTATTAAAATAAATAGTATTATTAATATTGAAATTAAATTTAATATAATTATTTTATTTAAAATTAAACTTTTTGATTGGAAATCAAATATACTATTTTTATATTAATAAAATTAATTATTTCATCAGTAAAAAGTTATATATAAAAATAATCAAATAATATCAATAAAGTGTCAGTATCATGCAGCTAATTCAAATCTAATATGATGAATATATGAAAAATGTAATTTTAATATTCGTATTAAGTTAATAATTAAAAATATTGTTCCGATAATTACATGTAATCCATGGAAACCTGTTGCTATATAAAATGATGATCCAAAAATTGAATCTGAAAATGTAAATGTTGCTTGTTTATACTCTAATATTTGAAGTATTAAAAAATAAATACTTAAAATAATTGTTAAATTTATAAAAATTATTGTTTTTTTTTTTGAATTATTTAATAAATATAAATGAGTTAATGTAATTGTAAATCTTGATGTTAATAAAATAATTGTATTTAATAATGGAATTAATAATGGATTAAAAAAATTAATATTTTTTGGAGGTCAATTTAATCCTAATTCAATTGATGGTGCTAATGAGTTATGTAAAAAATTTCAGAAAAATGAAATAAATAAAAATATTTCAGAAATAATAAATAAAATTATTCTAAATTTAATTAAATTTATAATATAAAAATTATGATTACCTTGAAATGTTCTTTCTCGAATAATATCTCGTCATCATAAAATTGAAATACTAATAATTATGAATAAGTTTATTAATAATATTAAATTAAATTTAAAATTTATTATTATTAAATTAGAAATTATTAAGTTGAAAGTATTTATTGATATTAAGATTGGTCATGGACTTAAATTTAAAATGAAATAAGGTTGATTAATTTTTATCATTATTCTCTAGAGTATAAAGATGAAAGAATTGAAAATACATATCTTTGAATTATAGCTACACATAATTCAAAAATTATTATGAATATTTGAATTAAAATAATAATTAATAATATTGAATTAAAATTTAGTAATGTTATAAGTAAATGACCTGCAATTAAATTTGCAGTAAGACGAATTGATAAAGATAAAGGTCGAATAATAATTCTTATTGTTTCAATAATTGTTATTAAAGGGGCTAAATAAATTGGTGTATTAAGTGGAATTAAATGAGCAATTATATTTTTTGTATTTTTACATACTGAAAAAATAATATGGAATAATCAAAATGGTAAAGCTAAAGTTATTGAAAAAATTATATGACTAGAAGATGAAAAAATATATGGAAATAATCTAAAAAAATTATTAAGTAAAATAAATATAAATAATGTGATAAATAAAAATGCAGGTGATTTAGTTTTTTTTATTTTATATAATATTAATATTTCATTATTTAATATATTAAATATTTTAAATAAAATTCAATTTATTCGATTTGGTATAATTCAAATAAAGTTTGGTATTATAATAATAATTATAAAAGTTCTAATTCAGTTTAATTCTAAATTAATAATTATTGTTGATGGATCAAAAATATTAAATAAATTTATTATAATTTTTAATTATTTTTTTTTTTAATATTTTAATTTTAATATTTTTAATAAAATTAAAATAAAGTAAGTTTATAGTTAAATAATATATTAAGAAAAAAAAAATAAATAGAATTAATCAATTAATTGGGGCTATTTGAGGAATTAAGTGATATTAATAAATAATTTTAATTTGACAAATTAATGTTATACTTTAACTAATCTCTTTCATTAGAAGTAATTGCTAATTTACTATATTTTGATTTAAGAGATCATTACTTTGCTTTTCAGTCATCTAATGATTTAAAAATTTTTAATTCAATAAATAAATTTATTAAGATTAATTGATTCAATTTGAATTGGTATAAAACTATGATTAATTCCACAAATTTCTGAACATTGTCCAAAATATAATCCAGGTCGGTTTATAAATAAATTAATTTGATTTATTCGTCCTGGGATTGCATCTATTTTAATTGCTAATCTTGGGATAGTTCAAGAGTGAATAACATCATCTGATGAAATTAATAATCGGATATTAAATTTATATGGAATAATAGTTTTATTATCTACTTCAATTAATCGAAAATTTTCTTTATTTAAATTATTAATTATATATGATTCAAATTCAATATTTGAAAAATCTGAATATTCATATGATCAAAATCATTGATGTCCAAAAATTTTAATTGTTAAAATAGGACATTTAATTTCATCTATTAAATATAATAGGTGTAAAGATGGTATAGCAATAAAAATTAAGATGATGGGGGGAGTTGTTGTTCAAATAAATTCAATTATTTGATTTTCAGAAATTTTAATATTAATAAATTTATTATTTATAATAAAAATTATTATATAAGTGATTGTAGATATAATTATAATAATAATAAAAATTGTATGATCATGAAAAAAAATTAATTGTTCTATTAATGGAGAATTTCTATTTTGAAATCTTAGTTTTATTCAATTTATAATTTCTAAAAAAAGATTATTCTTTATAAATGAATTTTAAGTTCATTGCATATAATTTCTGCCATATTAGAAATTAATAATTAATGGTAATTCTGAATATGAATGTTCTAATGGTGGTAAATTATGAATTCATTCAATAGAATTACTTAAATTTAATTTAAAAATTGTTGTTTTTTTTAAAAAAATTCTATTTCAAATAGAATAAATTAGAATAATAATTCTGAATGTTGAGATTATTGATCCAATTGATGAAATTATATTTCATAATAGAAAGTTATTAGGATAATCTGTATATCGTCGTGGTATACCATTTAATCCTAAAAAGTGTTGAGGAAAAAAAGTTAAATTGACTCCAATAAATATTAAAATAAATTGAATTTTTAAAATAAAATTATTTATGTAAAATCCTGTAAAAATTGGAAATCAGTGAATTAAACTGGCAATAATTGCAAATACAATTCCTATAGATAATACATAATGAAAATGTGCTACTACATAATAAGTGTCATGTAAAATAATATCAATAGATGAATTAGCAAGAATAACTCCTGTTAAACCACCAATTGTAAATAAAAAAATAAATCCTAATGATCAGATTGTTGAAGGTGAAAAATTAATTTTTGATCCATAAATAGTAGCTAGTCATCTAAAAATTTTAATTCCTGTAGGAATAGCAATAATTATTGTTGCTGAAGTAAAATATGCTCGTGTGTCAACATCTATACCAATTGTAAATATATGATGTGCTCAAACAATGAATCCTAATAACCCAATTGTTAATATAGCATAAATTATTCTAATATTTCCAAATGTTTCATTTTTATTTCTTTCTTGACTAATAATATGAGAAATTAATCCAAATCCAGGTAGAATTAAAATATAAACTTCAGGATGTCCAAAAAATCAGAATAAATGTTGATATAAAATAGGATCTCCTCCTCCTGCTGGATCAAAAAATGAAGTATTTAAGTTTCGATCAGTTAATAATATTGTAATAGCTCCAGCTAAAACTGGTAAAGATAAGATTAATAGAATAGCTGTAATTAGAATTGATCATGGAAAAAGAGGAATTTGATTTAATTTTAAATTATTAGGTATTATATTTAAAATTGTACAAATAAAATTAATTGCTCCTAAAATTGATGAAATTCCTGCTAAGTGTAAAGAAAAAATAGTTAAATCAACTGAAATATTATTATGAGCAATATTATTTGATAATGGTGGATAAATAGTTCATCCTGTTCCTGTTCCATTATTAATTATGAATCTACAAATTATTATTATTAATGAAGGAGGTAATAATCAGAATCTAATATTATTTAATCGTGGAAAAGATATGTCTGGGCATCCTATTATTAAAGGGATTAATCAGTTTCCGAATCCACCAATAACAATTGGTATAGTTATGAAAAAAATTATAATAAAAGCGTGAATTGTAACAATTACATTATATAGTTGATTATTATTAATAATTGAATTAATTTGTCTTAATTCTAATCGAATTAAAATTCTAAGAGATGATCCAATTATACCTGATCAAATTCCAAATAAAAAATATAAAGTTCCAATATCTTTATGATTAGTTGAAAAAATTCATTTTATAGATAAAATGGCTGATAATAGGTTATAAATTGTAAATTTATATATAGATTGAAAAATCTTTTTATCATTTAATCTTATATTCAAATATGATATTAAATTGCAAATTTAAAGGTATTAATTATTTAATTAAGGTTTAAAATATAATATTTTTAATTTTGAAGATTAATAGTTTATTTAATTAACTTAAAACCTTAATAAATAAATAAGTAACTAAAAAATAATCTAAAAAAATTAATTAATATAAAAAAATTATATTTGTTTTTTTTAAATTGTAAATATCATTTATTTATTAAGTTAAAATTAAATAAAAGAAAATAGGTTATTTTTAAATAAAATATTAAATTTAAAATAGTTAAAATAATCAATATTATTATTGTAAAATATAAGTTATTGTATATTAAATTTTTAATTAATATTCATTTTATTAAAAATCCTAATATAGGAGGTAAACCTATAATTGAGAAAATTAATATTAATATATTTAATTTAAAAAAAAAATTTAAATTAAAAAATTTTAATTGATTAATATAATTAATATTGTAATTATTTAATATTTTAATAATTAAAAAATTTAAAATTGAATAAATTAAAAAATAATTTATTCATAATTTTTCATTTATTAAAATTGCAAATAATATTCATGTAGTATTATTAATTGATGATATAGCTAAAATTTTTCGTATTGAATTTTGATTTAAACCAAAAATTGAATTTATTGATAATAAAGTAATTAAGAAAATTATATTCTTATCAATATTTAAATATGAAATTATAATTAAAGGTGTAATTTTTTGTCAAGTTATTATTAATAAACATGAAAATCAATTTAATCCTTCTAATATTGAAGGTAATCATAAATGAAATGGTATTAAGCTTAATTTTATTATTAATGGTATTATAATTAATAAATTATTATTATTTAAAAATAATAAATTTTTGTTAATTAAGAAAATTAATAAAATAATTGAGGCAAAAGCTTGAATTAAAAAATATTTTATTGTAGCTTCAATTGAATAAATTGATGATTTAAAATTTATAATTGGAATAATAGAAAATAGATTTAATTCTAAACCTATTCATATTGATAATCAGTTTGATGATGAGATAGATATTAAAGTTCTAAAAATTAATAATGTTAAAAATGTGATTTTTGTTAAATTTAAATTAATCAGAAAAAAGAATTTTATTCTATATTTGAAGTATGAATCCAAAAGCTTAATTTTAGCTTATTTTTCTAATTATATACTTAAGTGTTTATGCATATAAATTTTTGAAATTTATGGATTAGATTATTTCTTAAAGTATAATAAAAGTATATATAATACATGATTTACTCTATCAAAGTAACCCTTTTTCAGGCATTTTATT